CTATAAGTCTATAATATATAACTAAACTATTGTTGTATGTAAAGTAAATAAGGTTTTTAAAATGTTTAAGAAGCTTCATTTAAAATTAAATTAAAATGCAGAGCCTCCCTGACCAGTGGTCAGGATCCGGGCAATGTGAATGCCACTGAAAATCACCTCGCGTGCCGCCTTTGGCACACGTGCCATAGGTTGCCTACCCATGCACCACACGGCTGTATCGTAGTGCCACGGCAGAGAAGGAAGTAGCTTGCCATCTCTCAGTTCAGAGATGAAGCAAGCAGGACAAGCCTGCCATCATGTTGCTAAATGCATTTGTTTTTGGGACAGGATCTTCTGAATGTTTTATGAGGGTTTGAACCTGCACCAGTCCTGTTTCCAGCCTTGCTTGTATAACAGTCTTCTTAACAATCCTCTTTATGCTACACTAGAGTCTACGGGGTGTAAGTGGGAAGGGGAGAGGCCTAACCCAAGAGGCTCTGCAAGGACAGCTGTCTGTTAGACTAGGGCCAGGGCAGTAGCCTGTGCTTAAGAAGAGCACACTAGGCTATTCTACTGGCCCATTCATATTTAGACTGAATGGGCTGAGGAAGGCACAGCTAGATGGTCTTAACACCTGGTGAAATTCTCTGGCCTGTGCTATGCAGGAGATCAGACTAGATGAGCACAATGATCCCTTCCAGCCTTAAAAGCTATTACATCAATTTAAGAGATAGAAATAAAGGGATCAGATGGTGTGGAATCACTGTGACACACACAAAATACAAGAGGCTGTCCCATTGTTTTAGTTTTCATTGCAAGCACCACAGCAACGTCTGTGACTGAGGCAGCGTGGGAGAGAGACAGCAGACCCTGTAAAGGGAAGGAAAGGGTTTGGTACTGTGATTTTGAGAGTTCACAACTTTCATGCTTGCCAAACATATCACGGTGCATACCCAGCTCCTCCAGAAAGGCCAGGAACCCTTTGTAACATGTTCAATAGAGCTGATGGGATCATGTGATTCAATCAAAAGAGCAGTGGGAGAAAAACCATGGCAACAGTAAATGGGAAAGGATACTCCACAAAGCAGAAGCCACAAGGGGTTTTCTTGACCTTGTCTAGCCCCATGACAATCCTCTTGACATCTCCGCATTTGGAGAAGAGCTCCTGGATCTGCTCCTCGGTGGTGTAAAAGGACAGGTTCCCCACATACAGTGTGCAAGAGAACTTCAGGGCCTTCTCCTGTAGGTATCGGCTACCCTGAGAGCACAACAAAGAATAAGTGCAGCCTGAGTGACCTGCTGTTCAGCGGGTGCCTGAGCCACAGAGGCCGCGTGACCACTACACGTGCCCGTCTGGGGACCTGCACCTTCGACTCCAGCTGCTCCTACTTGGAGTTCTGGAGCGCCTGGGTTAAAGATGGCAAAATTGGAAATCACTGCACCGGGCCTGGGAATGTCTGGGCTGTACCCCACATACCGCTCCCTGTCCCAGAGACCCCTGCCTCCTTCAGGTACTGCCCCCCCCAGTGCTGTCCCTGTGCACCCCCCGGGCACTGGGCACCCCCAATCCCTGCCCCCCCCCCGGACGCTTGGCACCCCAACCCTCAACCCCCCTCAGGCTCAGACACTGCCCCCCAGTGCTGTCCCTCCCCCCGGGCACTGTGCATCCCCAATCCCCGTTCCTCCCCCCTCAGGCACCGCCCCCCCAGTGCTGTCCCTGTGCACCCCTACCCCCCCCCCGGACGCTGTGCACCCCGACCCTCAGGCTCAGACACCCCCTCCCCGGGCGCTGGGCACCCCCATCCCTGCCCCCCCGGGCGCTGGGCACCCCTGACCCTCAGGTTCAGACACCGCCCCCCAGTGCTGTTCCCTCAGGCTCTGTCCCTGCCCCCGGGCGCTGGGCACCCCCAATCCCTGCCCCGCCCCCCAAGGCTCGGGCACGGCCGGCGCACCCGGAAGTGCTGGTCCCGGTACTGGCTGATCTCGCAGTAGGAGTCGCTGTTGAGGCCGCTCAGCGTGGCGCTCAGCACCCCCGACATCCCGGCCCCCGGCTCCCCGGAACCTTCCAGAACCAGCGCGCGGCCGACTGCCGGGAAAAGAGAGGACCGAAGAGCCCCATTGGCTTAGCGCCTGCTACTCACCGCCAGGAGGTCGGGCCTACAACCTCATTGGAGAGGGGCACGGTGGCTGCCGTCCATCACGCCCTGGAAAGCCAATCAGAGCGCTGGGTTCGGCCGCTACTGCCAATAAAATGGTGGCGGGGCCGAGAGCCCCGCCCCGCCGTCTCTGGGAGCTGTAGTTCGCCGCCTCGCGTGAGGTAAGTCGCTGGACACTACATATCCCAGCATTCCACGCGGCGGTACACGCCGCTTGGCGGGAAACGGCGTCTCGCTGAGGAAGCGCGAGGCGAGTGGTGCTGGCGCCCTGCCCGTCGGGTGTCCGTGCGTCCCTGGGCGGAGCCCGAGCGCTCCCAGGGGCCGGGGTTCGAGAGCCAAACGGGGCCTGGCCCGCCCTTGTAGCGCCTGGGTTGGCTTCCTGAGGCGCGAGCTTCAACGGACCCTGTGAGGGGGGGAGCCCGGGAGGGGCCTGCTGCGATAGGACCGCAGCGTGGGGCTCCTCGCGCTCCCTGTAGGACCCGCCTGGGGCTGGGGGGGCAGAGTGGGGAGAAGCGCCGTGACCCCAGGATCGGGGCGGAAGATGGGGCGGCCAGGAGACGCGCTGTGCCCCTAGGTGGGGAGGGGGTAGAGCGAGGGGCGGCCAGGAGAAGGGCTGTGCCCCTATGGCCTGGGGGCGGAGTGGGGGGTGACTAGGAGAAGCACCAGACATCCAGGCTGGGTGCTAGGGGTGTGTGTGGCAGGGAGAACAGGAGATGCACCATGCCCCTGGGCAGGGGAGAGGCCAGGAGAAGCGCCAAGGTGTGATCCTGGGATGCTCTTTGTCTTCCCTTGGTGGTGTGATGTCAGACGCATAGGAGCCAACTTTCCCTGGCGTGCCCCCCCTGCCCCGACTCCGCCCTTTCCCCACCTCTGTCCTATCCCCATTCTAACCTCTTCCCCAAAGTCTCTGCCCCTTCCCCGCCCCTATCGGACCCTTCCCCAAATCCCCGCCCTGGCCTCACCTCTTCCCTGAGCATGCCGTGTTCTTCTCTCCCCCCCCCCGTGTGAAACAGCTGTTTTACAGCACAGGTGCTGGGAGGGCGGGGGAAAAAGCAGGCATGGGGAGGAGGCAGAGCAGAGATGAGCTGTGGCAGGGTGGGGAGCTGCGGGTGGGTGCAGAGCACCCACCAATTTTTCTCTGTGAGTGCTCCAGCCCCGGAGCACCCATGGAGTCGGCGCCTGTGGTCAGACATGCTGGCAGCAGCTAGCCAATCTCGCTGTGTGTGCCACATACAGTGGGTTCATGGTCAGCCCAGCTGTGTGCCAGGACAGCCACCTTTCCCCTGGGCTCAGACAAACACTGTAGTACAATAAATGTGCAAATGTGATCCCTACCACCCCTATTGTTCCTTGGGCTGGCTGAAGAGCTGCTGGCTAGACCCTTCTCTAGATTCCCTTCAGCTCCTGTTTTAAAGAAAGACTGCACAATGGTCCTTAGCTACTTAACTGTCCCTATAAATGCAAGAACTACACAGAGCTTTGATTACTTGTGTAATATTTCATCTGTGATCTGTGCATACCTGTCAACCTGGTGAGTCCCAGATATTACTCCTGGGGCGAATTCTGTGCCAAGAAATTAAAAGTTCTGCAATAAAAAAAAAATTCTGCACACAATATTTTCAAATTCTGCATCTGCTCACAATATTTTCAAATTCTGCATATTTTATTTGTCAAAATAATCACATCAGTTTCAGTTATTTTTGGTCATTTATTTCAGAATACCTGTCAGCAAGTATGTCTGTAACAATACAGACAACAAAAAAAGATTCATGAAATGTTTTTTGACAAATAGATTCTTTACTAGGCATATTAATACAGAACTCTGAGTAATAAATCATTTAAACTACAATATAGAGCCTTATTTCCTGCATCCCCCAGAAGCAGTGTAAAGGTTTGGGGGAGTCAGGAGTAACAAAGGAGCTGAGAGAGAGGGAAGTAAGTGCTGGCAAAGAGCCTGCATGTGAACTTGGAGGGCTGTTAGGTATGGGTGGGAAAAGTATGGAAGATTTGGTGGGGGGAGCTGGGAGGGATTGTTAGGGAGCTTCCCCCATGTTGACCCCTAGCCTCTCCCATTAAGTCAGGCACATCTGCCCCTGTTCCCATGTGTCCTTGCACCATCTGTCCACATGTCCTTCCAGCCCTACTCAGACACCAACCATCCCCATGTGTTTCTGTGGCCCCACTCAGCCACCCCCCTGTCCCTAGGTGTTCCTGTACCCTCTCCCCCATCCCCATGTGGCCCTGCACCTCCCTCCCCCACTGTGGCCCTACACCTCCACTCCCATTCAGCCCCTGCCCCAGGTTGTCCTTCCCCACTAGCCCTTATGAGCCCCTACTTATGACCCCCCCCCTGGCAGCCCCATGCTGTCTGTCTCCCCATATCCCCAGTATCTTGGCCTGGCCTGACAGGCACTGTGAAGAAGGCCGGCTTTTTCTCTTCCCTGGCTGGCGGAGCGCTGCTGCTCTGTTCTAGTGCCATAGCACCCTCTGGTGGGCAAAAAGTTTTTTCTGTGCAAAAAATTAAAAATATGCCTGGCTCATTAATTATGCACGTACAGTGCTGCAGAATTCCCCCAGGAGTAAGATATGAGACAAGAATTAAAAATGGGAGAGTCAAAAATAGCCAATCAGAAATTGTGATTTATGTTAAATGCCCTGCCACATTTCTGTAACTTAGTTCCTGAATTAGAATTTTTGCAGTAAATCACTTGTGGTAATGGAAGTGAGGAAATAGCAAGTAGATGTTTGGATGATGGTAAAAATGGGTTTCTAGGAATGCTGCTGCTATTGAAGTCAATGGTAAAATATCCTTGACTTCGGTGGGAGTGAGATCAGGCTTATAGTAAGGAATAGTTGAGAGATATAGGCCTGTGTAGTAGAAAAGTTGACTATGTGGCTTTTAAAATAATTGTGTGTGTGTGTGTGTGTTAAAGGACTTGATTCAACGCTTTAGAAATGAAGGGGGAATCTCACTTACTGGAAATTAAAGGTACGAATCCGTAATCTTTGAAAAACTAAATGTTTAGTTGATAATTGTGTAAATAATTCAGTGCTACACATGTATATTTTGTGTGTCATGAGGGAGGCCAAAGGGAATAAAAGCCTCATTCCCAGGTTTTTCTAATTATAGTCAGGAAAATCTGACTCTTCCTGATGATATGCTTTGTCTTGAAGCCTGAATGTCAGGGAAGGCTTGACCAATAAGAGCTAGACAGTGTGGGAGGATGGTGTTCTTAGGCAGCTAGGGAGAATAATATTTCTGGCCCTGAATAAATGCTTGGAGATTAGTTTAGCTTGGGCTGTCAGAGTTTTGTCTAGCCCCATGGCCAGTAAAGTGAGCACACAAGTACAAAGGAGAAATAGGGAAGGAAATATCAAGCATGCTGTCCGGTTTGCAGTCCAAAATAGCCACTTGATGACTACCTTCAGCCCAAGAAAAACAAATCACATTACATAACTTGCAATCAAAGAATGTTTGATTAGGCTTGATGTGCTAGAAGAACTAGTCACAGTCAAAGAAATTTTGGAGACACTCTATTTTTATTAGAAAAAATATAATAAAGATATATAGTCAGCTTTCTGTGAAACCCCACAAAATGGGCTTTCATGGTGCTGAAGAAAACCTTCCCTTTCAGTTAGGACATTTAAACAAAACTTTTTTTGCTTTTTGTGGAAGTTGTTTTTGGTGACTTTATAGTTTAAATTTATTATCTGACCATTGGCATTTATTTGGGTAAAAACAAATATCTGTTGTGAATAAAAAATGTTCCTGCCCTGGATCTGACTAAAGATTGTTCTCAGCAAGGCAGAGGCCCTAAAGGTATCTTGAATGAATGGAGGTCTCCTAGAACTGGAAGGGAAAGGTCATCGAGTCCAGCCCTCTGCTTTCACTAGCAGGCCCAACTACTGATTTTGCCCCAGATCCCTAAGTGGCCTGCTCAAGGATTGAACTCACAACCCTGGGTTTAGCAGGCTCAAACCACTGAGCTATCCCTCCCCCTCTTATTTTCCTTGTACTGTGCTTAGCTAATCAGTGCTCAAAAAGCAACTGGTTAGTGGCTAAAATAACACTTGAATAATTACAGAACTAGAGACAAGGGATACATTGAGGGGTTTTTGTTTCTCAAACCTGTATGTGGAGAAGTTTTTACATTATGATGAGCACCACATATTGAAAAGGGAGTGAGGGCCTTACATTGATTGGAAACCCAGTAAAGTGACCTAATTCTCTCTCTCTTCAGTGACAGGTTAATACAGCAGTTAATTGAGTTTGTCAGTTTTCCTTTTAAACCAGGGGAGGAATTTAGAGACCCAGAATAGCAGTTTTATTTATTTGGTTTTTTTAATCATAGGCTTCATAACCGATTGTATGGGAGTTTCAGGATTCTAGGTTCAACCTGTCATCAAAATAGTGACTTTGCTTTCAGCCTTCTTAATAAAAGCACTGGCGTTGACTCACTCACAGTAAAGTTACTGAATGTAGGTTTTGTGCAGCATTGTACTGTTAGAGAATGCCAAAGGTTAAAAGTCATTTAGAGTGGAAACAAAAGACACTGTCAGGAAAGAGATATTTTATTAGCAAATTAAATGTTAGGCCAAAATATGCTCTCATTGCCTGGATTCAACTCTATGTAAGTCAACAGATTTAATTGGTGAAGCTCACCAGAATTTAGCTTCGTTGCGTATGTAAAAACTTCCTCTAGGTTTCAGAATTATTTCCTCAGACTCCGCCTTCACTTTGTGTTTATTTAGTAGACAGAAGGCTATGGAGAAAATGTAAACTGATTGGTTGCTCTTGTTCAGACATTCAAAAATGATGTGCTGCTCTTAATCTTTGTGTGAAGTTCACTGCATTGCTGTCTCTTGTTTGTCTTTCTTTCAGTGTTAATTCAAGACCTGGTGAAGAAAGACACCTCATCAAACGTACCTGAGATCATTGACAAACTGTTCAGTGAGATAGAACGTGTGGATAACGAGGCTGGGAATGAGATTCAGGAGGCTCAGAATGAGATTCAAGAGGCTCAGGTAGAGGGCTGGAAACAATTGCTGAAAACATCGGGTATTTAAAAACAATCTAATCTTGTGGCCAAGGTAAAGGTGAACAGCTCTGTGTTGGCCATGTGACACAACTTGAATGCCTATTGGCCAGTGCGGATAATGCGTAGACCTGGTTCTGACACTTGCTTAGAATATGTTCTATTCACATTTTTATAAAAGTATGGAGCATAATAGTATAACATTTATTTTTTATATCTCCTTCAGCACATTTGAAGAAAGTCGAGGTATTTCTGTCACATTAATATAAAACTTGAGGCATATTAAAGTAATACCTTCTTAAATGTTCTCTAACAAAAAATCCAGGGCCATATTAGCAACTGTCAGGAGATGTTTATTATATAGTATGGTAGGGTTCCAGCAACTCTTCAGACCAGATTAATTTCTTTTCATTTGGAAAGAGAATGCCATATATTTAGTTCTAACATTACTGACATATAACATTCCTTCTAAATTTTCTTTATACTGTGTGGGCTGCAAACTGCACTGAGCATTATATTTTTGTTCTTTGGCAAACTTATGCTTTTTTGTGTGTATTAAATCCCTCACAGAACTGTGTGAGAGTAGACACAATGGATTGTAATTGCTTTTTAAAGAGATTAGTCTATTGTGGAAAAGAGTATTTCAAGAGTGTTTAAAGTATGGATTATGTAAATGTGTTTTAAGGACTTCAAAAATGTATTGACAGGGCCTACTACAATAGAGTATCATATAAATGTGAGTTTGGCTTAGCCCTCCCTGCCGATTTGCCCCCCCCCCTGCACCTTTTAGCCCCAGTTAACAGCAGAGAGCACAAATGTGGTTCCAAGTGAGGGCAGAGTAAGGATAGCTTCAGCAGATATTACTGAGCTTGTTCAGAATCATGCATGCTCAATATATAGTACCAAGTCAATTTAAAACAGGTGACTTTTTGCTTGTTTTGGAGCAGTTGGGTTGGCATTTTTATGCAGTCACAGCCCGCAGGTTTTTCTGCTTGTCTTGTGACTACTTCTGCTTTTTTATTTTAACTATGCCCCCTGCTGCCCGTGGATGTTTTTTGACACAAACCCTGCCCAGCATCATGGCATCCTGACGCAACCTCCCCCAGCATAATGACGCAACCCCCACTGTCCGCGTATATTTTCTGGCTTGTTTTTGGGTGGTATTCTGGCTAGTGCTCTTTGGATACAGGCATGGCTGTGCCTGTGTGTAGCTTACAAGGAACATTGTTGACATGTGAATTAGATATTATGAAAGTCCTGAGCACGTAACAACTGGGGCCTGTTACAGTGGAAATCTTTTGGAGTTTCAGCACCTTAGGTCAGTAGTATATCCATAAGGGGAAGCGCAAGGGTCTTGACTGTTTCCAGCCCCACCCCTGTTCCCCTTCTGAAAATGCTACTTTAGCCTTTTCAGTTTGGACTCATTCTTATGACAGCAACCTATTAAGCATTTACTTCAGAAATTTGGTGTGAAACCAAATATTTCCTTCTATTGATTTGTATTGATTCATAGATGCATAACTTTTAAGACTAGAAGGAACCATTCTGACCATTTATTCTGCCCTCCTGCACAACAAATTGGACCCTCTGATTTCTGCATCAAGACCATAACTTCTGGTTGAGGTAGAGAGTATATCTTTTAGAAAGACATCACTGTTGATTTTAAAGACATCAAGTGATGGAAAATATACCATGTCCCTTGCTATGTGGTTCCAATGGCTGATTACCTTCACTTAAAAATATGTACCATATTTCCAGTCTGAATTTGTATAGATTCAACTTCCAGCTGTTGGGTCTTGCTAGAATAAATAGCCCTCTACTGTCAGAAGTCTTCTCCCTGTGTCAGAATTTATTCACCATAATCAAGTCACCTCTTAACTTTCTATTTGATCAACTAAGTAGATTGAGCTACTTAAGTCTGTCACTGTGAGAGGATTTTTAGACCTGAAGCCATTCTTATAGCTTTTTTCTGAACCTGTTCCAATTTTTCAACATCTGTTGGGAACTTTGCATGTTTTGAACATCCTTATTAGACTTTGAAAAACATTAGTAAGTCCGTTGTTTCTTAATGGTAATGGATATGCTATTGCACAAGGTTTGTGTGTGTGAGATCATTTAATTCCAGACGGATGGAATAAACCGGATCAAATATTGACAAGTTCAGGAATGGGCTTGGTGTAAATGAGTGTAAGGACAATTGAGTAAAGTGATAGATGAAGGGGATCTGTTCAGGAAGATGCTTTACTGACACAAAACAGAGGATTTAAAATGTTTCTGAAATCTTGATTTCACATACAGAATTCCCCACTGTGCACAATTTCAAATTATGACTGAAGACACTGATGGCCACGGATGGTATGTGTTGATGGGTGCTATTGCCATCAGTCTAATTAGATCTTTTAAATTGTAAGTCATGTCATTCTTTGATTTACACAAGCATATAGTTATTTACCTATATATGGTTCTGTTACATCAAGAAGTTCAAATATGACCCAGATCAAGACAAAAAGGCAAATTCTAATTAATTTTTTTCTGTCCTAGATGGAAGAAAGTGCAATAAGCCTATGGAATTGGGCTGTGACTAACCGAGTAGATTCAGTCATCAATGATGAGCAAAGAGCTAAATGTATGTATGTGTTTTGTGTCCTAGATTAAAGTTCTTTTATATTGTAAAATAAAAGCTCTTATGGTACAACTATTTTATTTAACGTTTGTATATAGTGCCATAGGGTTGTGTGTATCTTTGCAGATAAAATGAAGGCAGAGAGTACTTTGCAGCTGTTTTGTGTAACCAACTAAGGAAGGATCTCTCCAGTGCAAGAATGATCCTCTGGTAACACAGTCAGTGTAGGAGTTGTTATATTGCTCCCCTTTCCTGCTGCCTGTAGGACAGACCAGAGGAAAGAAGCTGTGTCTGGACTCCTCTGTGCTTCACTAATCCTTGGCTATGTTTTTGGTCCATACATTTTTGGAAATAAACTGTACTGATATAAGTGTCTGGGCTGTGGGGGGCTGCACTGATAGACGCTGATATAGACCTGAAGAGCTTTGTGCAGCTCAAATGCTTGTATCTTTCACCAACAGAATTTGGTTTAATAAAAGATATTACCTCACCCACATTGTATCTCTGATGAACCAAATTAGTTACATTGGTACAAAACTGTGTGTAGACCAACCCTAAGGATTCTGCAGACCTAAGGTTGATCTAACCTGGTGCAAGGCAAGTGGCCCTGCACAAGGGGAGCATCATGATTGGTGGAGTGCAAAAGTGAACTTTAAAGCCACCTTTGTATTTGCACCTTGACCTGCTCTCTGTGCAAATCTGCAGGACCCCAGTATCTGGTCCATAGTTTTTGCTGTAAGGGCCTTACAGTCTAAGTTATATACATAATGCAGGGAGAGATGATATTAGGCAAAGGGGAGGGAGGGAGGCTTACTAGTTCTATGGTACAATCTCATCAGCTCTCATATCATAGTTAAAGGTGACCTGCAAAGGATATTTTAAAAAAATGGGGTTGTGTTTATTTTTTTTTTTTTTACTTTTTGATGTATGAAGAAGAACTGAAAGATTTGTTCTGTTAACTTGTAACTTTTGACATATAAAGAACGTCAATCTCGTCTTTCTTGGTTTTGCCAGAGGATATTTTGGTGTACATCACAGAGCAGCACACTGTTGATTCTTAACAAGCAATAATAAATGAATTGCATTATGGTATTTACCCTGATGTCCATTGTTATTGTTTGTTATTCATTCATTACAAAATGTTTACCGATGTGCCTAAATTACACTTCTTGTGCCAGCTAATCTCCATGCACTGGAGAGAGATTCACTCTGATGAAGGGCAGGCTGTGTTTTTGCAGCTGCCTTTCCTTGGGGTTTCTGCTTAGGACAAACTTTAACTCCTCCTGGAACTTTGTAGAAGCTGCAGAGAGAAGGTGCTGAATCAGGCAACTCCCTGGTCATTTTTCTCTTCTCAGCTAGTTCCACCCTGCTTTGTGGGCTGCACTGTATTCTAATGATCCCCTGGGCATAGCTAAGGTTTTGACTTCTGTGCACCTCTATAGCCTTGTCCCTTGCAGAATTATTTGCTGACACAGACCTCCAGGGTTTATGCCAAGATAAACACTAGGTGAATCTGCTCCCAAATATGGAGAGTCTAAGTCTGTTCCAATTAAGTTAATAACAAAACTCCTATTGACTTCAGTGGGAACATGTTTAAGTCCCACATGGTAGAAACATATACTACCCGTCATACTTTGCAGTGGAGTAAGGTTTCCAGGCTGGCTGCAGTCTCCAGGGTGCTTTCCCATTGGTGTGGTGCTTGGGTATGATGTGGAGATGGAGCTTCTAATTTGCAGTGGATCTGCTCTGAGATTTGGAGTTATAAAAACATCAGTTGTAAGCTAATGTGCTGAATTCCATTTTACTCTGGTTATATGAGACAGTCAGCACACAACAGTGTTCTGGTTGCAGGGCCGGCTCCAGCATTTCTGCCGCCCCAAGCAAAAAAAAAAAAAGCTGCGATCGGCGGCAGCAATTGGGGGGGGGGGGAAAGCCGCGATCAGCGGCGGCAGTTCAACGGCAGGTCCTTCGCTCCTAGAGGGAGTGAGGGACCTGCCGCCCTCGAATTGCCGCAGGTGCAGCCCCTCTCCCTTGGCCGTCCCAAGCACCTGCTTGTTAAGCTGGTGCCTGGAGCCGGCCCTGTCTGGTTGTTAGGTTTATGAGGGTTTACATTACCTAAGAAATGTTGTTTCTGACTGCATCAGTTGGTGAAGAAGTAGCCTCTCCATAGTCTGACTTTAGAGTTGGAGTTCATAAGGGCTTGAAAGAACAGGGGAAATGGCCCATCCTTATGTATGCATGCATTGTTTTCTTGCAGTGCGCCATGTTTCTTGCAGGCTAGTGTGCCTGTGTGAAGGCAGCGATCCTCCAGAGGAGAAGGTGCGAAGACAGGTTTTGGTAAGTCTAGCTAAATGGTGAGAATGCAAGTGCAGTATGGTGAGTTCCAAGGGAAATCTTGGAAAGGTATTTTCAAATGATAGAGTAATTCAGGAAAGTGAGTGAAATTATATTTCTGAGGAATGTATCTGCTGAAGTTGGATCTGTATTATCACAATGACACCTGGTTGAGCCACTATAGTTAGGGGTTTCTCAGCCATACCATTATGAACCTTGACTTCCATAGTAAACCAGCATAACACCCCTTAGTCCATGGTGAGAACATGAATTGCTGAGGTCTCCCACATGGAAATTAATGGCACTAGTTCTGCCTTACCCAGCCAATACGAATATTGTGAAAGAAGTAAATTACTGCTTCAGTACCTTATGGAAAAGAATACATCCTGTTGTGATAACTGGGCCTACAAATTGACCCTAATTATGAGCTCAACTGTAAAAAGCAAGTGCAAGTTCATAAAACGCCACAGTAACCTGTAACAACAAATGCAAGACAAACTGAATTAAGCCAAGCAAAAATGCCTACTGATGTAACTCAGGGACTGTGTTAAGATCATGCAAGAAATTAGCTGATTAGGGCACTGTATCTAATTCCTATATAAAAGAAGACGACTAAATAAATATTAGACTCACTCAGCTCTAATACTAACATGTTCTCACATCTTTTGTTAAGTCACTTAAGGGACACTGGTTAGGTTTAAAATTGTAATGTATATTCTTTGTTACTAACTCTTGAATACAACAATTGAAACAACTGTAGAAAAATCTAGATGACCTTTTTAATCACTTTTTTGCAGTTCATCAAGCTTGGAATAGATCATTTAACTTTGGAAACATTCAAGTAGGGCAAAGCCCCCTGAATTTATACTGCACCTGCCTGGGGTTGTTGGGGTGTTACTTCACTACAAATAATAGACTAGAAACTGACCTTAAACAGGAGTGAAAGTGACATTTTCAAGTTAATGTTAAAAAATCGTTAAAAAATCATGAATCAGGCTCACCAAAAATCGTGAGATTGGCTTTAAACTCATGAGCATGTAAAAATAATAGATTTGTTGTTCTTTTTATTTGCCTTCTGCTTTTTGAGCCTTTAGGGTGCACTAGGGTCACGTTTTGAAGCGTTCTCCACAGCCACAAGGGCTAGAAATTTCATTTTTCTTTAAGAACAAAGGCTGAAATCATCACATATCCCCTTGACTCCTGGAGCTAGAGCTTTAAGGAAAACAATTATCATGAGACGCATGACAAAATCCTGAGCCTTGGTAACACTGCTTTTACTTCTATTTAAAGGTTAGTTACTTTCCAGAAGGCTCTTAAGCACAACACTACAGTGATTGAGTTGCAGTTCTCACAGGAGAATATTTAAAACCAAACACCAAGAAAATTCTATATTTTAAAGTTGAGGGAAAAACAGACTTCTGAGGTACATCAGGGCAACTGCAGGCAGGAAAATAAAATAAACAGGCACAGGAGCTCTGGGCAGCTCTTCCTTTAGAAAGAAGGTTGGAGGGTCAAATCTTATAGTCCTTAATCCAGTAAAACATCTATTGCCTCCACTCATAGATATTAACATGTGCTTAATAAGTATACACTTCATATTTAAATATCTTATCCAGGGCTACACATTTGATACACACTGGCTCTCAGGGACTGTATTGTCTGGCATATTCTGAACAGTGCTGAGCACACAGACGGTGCCCAGTGAATAACACAAATCATAATAATTGTTGACTTTATGGACTCTGTGGATGCAATTTCTGTTCTTTGTTCTGGAATTGGGCTGGATACAGCTGAAACCCGAAGAGTTTGAGGCATAAATACACCTGATACTTATGACACTTTCTGATTCTTTCCTTTTCTCAAACATAGAACCAAAAAAAATGACAAAACAAAATGGTTTTCAGTTAAAATGTAAAATTGCACAGCAGCCATTGCTTTACAATCCAGCCTGGGGCAGAACCTGCCACCCCTTGGGAGTTAAGTGATCTCCTGTCATCTGACTCTGATTCTCCATCCTTTCTGACCTCTGTGCTGCTTTTCATGCTGTCAACCATGACCTCTATCCCAACCTCCTGGGTCCATTTGCTGGAGTCTCAGATAACTGGACGCCTTGGTTTTGCTCCCATCTATCAGAGTCCTTTTTTTTTTTTTCAGCATGCAACAGAGAGAGTGGTTGGCCTGCTGGATAGGGAACTAGCCCTGAAGGACCTGGGTTCTACTCCCCGTGGACTTTCTGTATGACCTCAGGCCATAGTTTCAAAGGTTTTTAGGCACCCAAAGATGCTGTTAGGTGTCTAGTGGGGTTTACAAAGCACCTAACCTTCTAGGTGCTTTTGAAAATCTCACTAGGTGCGTAAATACCTTTTGAAAATCTGGCCTTTAGTCTGTGTGTGCCTCAGTGCTCCCTCTGTACAATGGGGATAATAGCACTGCTCTAGGAGAAATCGATTAGATCTTGTGTGGCGCTCAGATACTACAGTGATGAGGCCACATAAGTACCACAAGTAGAGTGGGAACTTCTCTGTACCACTGCTATCCCTACCCTGGGTTTTTGCCCCTTCTTTTCACCTGCACCCCTCAAATCTCCATGTTGGCTCAAAGGGCTTGGCTGTATTTTTTCTGAGTCCCCTGTGTTTGCTCTAAAACAACTCCCCCCCTCCGCCCCCAGATTCCTGTTTTACAGTCTAGACTTTCAGATCATTAATTTAATCACCAGCTCTTCCTTACCTTCATCACCTTGCCTCTGTTTGCAAAGAAAATACTGACTCCCTGGGCTGGTCTACACGGGGGGGGAGGGGGGGAGGATCGATCTAAGATACGCAACTTCAGGTACGCGAATAGCGTAGCTGAAGTCAAAGTATCTAAGATCGAATTACCTGGGGTCCACACGGCGCGGGATTGACGGCCGCGGCTCCCCCGTCAACTGCGCTACCGCCTCTCGCTCTGGTGGAGTTCCAGAGTCGACGGTGAGCGCGTTCGGGGATCGATATATCGCGTCTTAACAAGACGATCCTGGATAAATTGATTGCTACCCGCGATACGGTGGGTAGTGAAGACGTACCCCCTGCCCCAGGGGCACCTCTCCTCTGCAGAACTTACATTTCACACTAATGTTGTACTGTAGTTAAGAGCTCCACCTTGAAACTCACACACCTCCTGTAGGAAACTTTGGGGGGGGGGGGAGGAGGGCTCTCCTCCCGCCCTCCCCTGCCCCCCTAATTGGTGCCCCCTGCTGAGGTATCTATATACCTGTGATGGTTCTTGGGATACCCAGGGCTGTGGGTCACCTTGTTACCCCCTGCCTCCAGCAACAGTGAGTCTTTCTTGTGTTAGCTGGGTGTGTCAGCTCCCTGACACTGCTAGGCTTTCAGTCACTCAAGTACTATCCTCTGGGCTATGCCAGCCCTAACTTCACCTTGCAGGTTAACAGTGAGTACACACCAGTCCCTCTGTCGCTGTCTACTCCCAAAAATTCCAGATCCTGTGCCTCCAAGGAGTAGGTACCTCTGTTTACCAATTTTATCTTTAATCACTGCTTCTGTAACCGCATAGCACTTGTGAGCACTTATAATAAAACAAAAGAAGGTTTATTTAAAAAAGTATAAGAATTTAACTGGGAACAAGAGTGTGGTAGAAACAAATGGTTACAATACAAAACAAAATCATACAACATTAATCTGGGTCTATACTTATAGTTACTTTTCCTATACAATAAAGTAGATTTCCCTTCAAAATTCAGTCTGTTGCAGAGCTGGCTAGTTTCTCAAGAACGAGGATCCAAATGTTCATGAAAGCAACCCTGCTCTATAAGGGGGTTTTCTCAGCGAATGGATACAGAGTCCTCTTCTTCCCATGTGTTATACTGAAAACAGCCTTTTGTTTCTATTTAGAGATTGAGCAAGCAATAATCTTGTTTAAAGTTTTCTTTTTTTTATATCTTTAAGTGGCTTCAATTGTTGTTTGTTGCTCTGATGGTTTCCCATTCACAGTCTTAGTACTGCACAAGCCTAAACAGTTGAACCTTGCATTGCATCACTGGCCAAACAGGGAGTGATGACAACTTCTCTTTGCCTGAATTGTGCTATCACCAAGACACATTATCTCCCAGTGTTTGTACTTCAGGTCCATAAAGCAAACTTTCAAAATAAATACATTATTCCTTAAATATTACCCATACATGCATCTCCAATAATTATGAATCTTGACAAGTTACGAGTGTTCTGTAGATACCTTACATGTTACTCTTTATGGATAAATATCCTGTAAGACATGTTTGGCAGAGTGAGTTTGTTAGATCTGAGATGAGAGATGTTTGCAAAGAACAGGGGACCCTTTTGAGACATTACCCAGGGTACAATCTGGACTGATGGATAGCTGTGTCCCCTCAATTCTGCAACCTTTTACCCTACTTTGCTGTGAGAGCAACCAGTCCAGGTCTGCTCTCATGCAGCCTCCAGCATGTAAATCACTCTCTGCTATACTCCATGAGTACTATAGAATTACACTATAAGGCAACACCAGCAAACTTCCCAGTCCCGGACTTTTTTCCAGAAATGTGTGTTTTGTACTGCCCAGCACCCTCCTGGATGATACGAGCTCATATAAGGTATGTCATTTATTAATAGAAAATGATATGCACAAATTTTGTTATCCCAAATGGAGTTTCCCAAACATTTCAATCTTACACTGGTTTAGATAAAATAACAACAACAACAAAAATATTAACTATAGAAAGATAGATTTTTAAGTGACCAATTAATGAGGCATATAAGTCAGAATTGGTTACAAGGAAATAAAAGGTAAAATGCAACTAACACCTAATTTAACAAGCTAAGTGAAAACAAAGCAAACTGGCTGAACCTCTTTCCCCAGTGCATTTCTGCTTCCTTTGTTCTTCAGAGGTTGATGATGCCATGGATAGAGAACAAGTGAGAAATGATTTGGGTTGAATTTTCACAAAACACATGTTCCTTTTCTGCTTCAGATGACCATGAAGACTGGAAAAGGGTGGGTGGATGTTGGAAAAGCTGCCCTTGCTGATGGATTTCTTGTGATTGCCGTAAATGTAAGTTTCTGGCTAGGTACAGTCTCCTGCAAACACGCTTACTAGCAAGTGCTACAATTGAGTAACAGCTTTCTGGGTGCTTATGTTTTCTTTTCCAGAGTCTAGAAAAACTATATGCCCAATTAATGAAGAGGAGCAGTGGTGAGGCAGATATTCAGGTGCACAAAGCTGATGTAGAGAAGGACCTATTCAAAGTGCTGTCTTATCAGGCTGAATCAGTACGTGTCCTGGCCAGTTTCCCTTTATAGGTCACTGGGGCATATGGAATGTATGAATGATCATACTGGAACTTTGACTCGGTTGTTAGAAGTGTGAGTTCCTGTCATTAAACTGGAAAGATGTGTTTCCCTAGATCTGCTGTGAGGTCTCAGATTTGACCCCTCAGCATTACAGTAATTTAAGCATTCTTAATATACCTATTTTTTCGACATGCATCTTCACTAATTTATCATAATCCTGCAAAGTTGTTTAGATCATTTCTTGAAGACTCTGAGTATGTCTACACAGCAACTAGACACCTGCGGCTGGCCTGTGCCAGCTGACTCGGGCTGGGGCTGTGGGACTGTTTCATTGCTGTATAGACACCTGGCTTGGGCTAGAATCTGGGTTCTAGGACCCTGCGAGATGGGAGTGTCCCAGAACTCAGGCTCCAGCTTGAGCCCAGAAATCTACACAGTACTAAAACAGCCCCCTCAACGCAAGCCCAACTAGCCTGAGTTGGCTGGTACAGGCCAGCCATGGGCTTTTCTTTGCTGTGTAGACATACCTTCTGCCATTTAGCTAGCAGGACAGGAGTTTTTATAAAATGGACAGCTACCTTTTCGAGGCCTGAGTCACCTCCTACAAGGATCTGTGTTTCACTGGCTGAAGAACCCAGATATCTGGTGCTGCTTTGGAACCAGGGTCTCCACATCCACAGGAGTGCAATATATATTTAGTGAGATATGTAAATTCAAAACCACACATCTCTGTGCCAGTATTCTGTCACTAAAGTAATCAAATAATACTTAAGTGCAACATTGCATCTAGATCACAAGTAGCCAAGATCTAAAAGCTGCACACAGGAAGCTACTTGCAGTGCATAATAACAACTTTATTGAATGTGCCACTAGATGGTAATCTTTAGATATACTAACTATGCACACGCACACATATAAACTATTTTTTTATGTACAGTGTTTTTTATATACAAGTAGGGAGGTCATCGTTGCCAACTCATGATTTTATGATAAGTCTCATGATATTTGGTGATTTTTCTTAAAGCTTCAACCCCTGCAAATCATGCAAATAGGCGAGAATCTCAGCTTTCTTAAAAATAATTTTAATAAAAGTAAATTTGTAGTCCTTTAGAAGAAAAGTTTGAAAATGACACAACTGTACTCTTCTAAAGCACCAAAAAGAAAATAAAAACAACCCTTTCTTTTGTTCGTTCTTTCTTTAAAAAAAATCTCATGATTTGTAAGCCACCCATGATTTTTGAATAGTTGGGGTTGGCAAAACTAAAAAGTGGTACAGACATTGGGGTACAAATAGAAGGCCTCAATCCCTAAATTGCATAGGGAGCCAATGGAGGGGCCAATGTGTCTGGAGATCAGATTTGCTGAACTGTGTTCCCAAACTTTTTACTATGGTGACCCACCAACTGCATTTTATCATTTTTTGTGTGTGTGACTCTCTCAGGGTCTGTATTCATGGGGGAGGCCCAAAAATCATAGGCCAGCATCCTTCTCCTCCTCATCGCCCCACTGAGGGGCATTGACTACATGCAGAAGGACCCTCTGCCTTGGCACCGCAATCCTAATCCTAATCCTGATCCTGGCCTGGAATGGGGAGGAGGCCCCTGGAGAAGAGGGGATGGAGAGTGAACCTACCCTGCATTCACTTTACAGTGGTGGCTCCAGTGGAACTGGGCTTGGCTTCCCATTCCAGATGTTTTGACCTGGTGCATGAGGTCATAACGCCACTCAGGTTTGATCCGGCCAATGGAGGGGTGCCTAGGCCAAACCTGAGTGGCATGGCAACCATGTGTACCAAGTTGTGACAAGTGGGGAGGTGGGCACAGCCCTGCGGGACAGGACGGAACCACTACTGTCTGATAGGGTGGGCTCATTCTCCAATGCCCTCTTCCCTCCACACTAGGCCCATGATTCATCTACAATCTTCCCATGACCCACTATTTGGGATCTCTGGCTTATACCATATTTCATGTATCTTCATGGCAATTTTAACATTTGAAGGAAATGATCACGTGATCCTACATGTTCACGCACTATAACCTCAGAGTTTCACGGTGTGTCTTGCTGTTTTTGTTATCTCTCCATTTACAGTATAGTGAGTTGCACTGTATTGTGAGCCGGCAGGGTATTTAAAGACAAATTGTTTTTATTCTAACAATTTATTGGCATATTCTGTTGCTTTCTTAGGCAGTTGTTCAAGGGTGTTTTCAGAAAGCAGTGACATGTTTGCAACGCTGCAAAGATATGTTGACAAGGCTGCCAAAACAGGTCAGTGAAATCAGTCCTTTTGTGTCCTTCCAAAAGTTTAATATTAACAAGAAAGAAAGTAGCTTTTCAAGGAGCTACTGATGTCTCAGAAAATTCTGAAAAATATTCATCAAGACAATTCTCTGTACATCTATTCTGTGTCTTTCCTTTGCTTGTTCTTTGTACTAAGGACATTTGTTTCTTCAAAGTTCACCTGCTCTTGCCTGCTTCCTGCAGCTCCCATTGGCCGGGAACGGTGAACTGTGGCCACTGGGAGCTGCGGGTGGCTGTGCCTGCGAACAATCAATGTAAACAAACTATCTCGTGGCCCGCCAGCGGATTACCCTGACGGGCCGCATGCAGTCCATGGGCCACAGGTTGCCCACTACTACTCTAAAGCGTAAGTAATAGAATCTGAAGGGATGGATGAAGGCTGAAATATGACTTTTGAAAGTGAAATGTGGCACTGTGCATGTTGTGGTTGAATGGGATTTAACTGGTTTCTGTGATACTCTTAAGGGTATGCGGAGATCATCTGAGTGACTGTAACTCACTTGAGGAGTTCTGCTTTCATTCTTATTGCATGGACAAAGCTGCAATCAGTGGATGAATCATTAAGTGACCCACTGGGGTTTTTGTATTGCTGCTTTTTGTTTCATTTTAAATGTTACATGTTTTCCAACGAAACTCTTCCATTAAATAATGTTAAACTTGATGGCTTAGGACAGTGGCTCTCAACCTTTCCTGGGAAGGTCTCTAGGTAATGTTTTAAGAGGGAGACATGGAACAGAGGATGGGTCTTCACTGACTGATAACTGAATCTTGAATGTCACTGGATTGATCTGCTTGAGAATCTTGGGTGGGCCTAGGTATTGGTGATCCAGCTTAGCCGATGCTCAGGTTGATTTGAGATTCTGAGTTGATAACCAGACCAGATAACTGATGCTGAAGTTAGGTGCAGCCTGGTGACCCCAATCAGTTTAATGCTTGTAGACCACATCTGCCTGCAGAAGTTCACGCTGTAAAGTGGGTGCTGACTGCTGGCTGGCTGGTTCTGTTAAGACAGGTGTGGGTCAAGAAGCCACCCTCTGTTCTTGCGGCATTATGATAAGCTATTGGCAATCTTGATGCCTATCTGGAGAAATGCATCCAGCCCAGTTGGAGATTCTATCTGTGCCAGCTCCTCCTTGAGTCCCTCATTTACGCCCAGCTGGAATTGATAGCACTGAGCGGCCTTGTTCCAGTTTGTGTCTGTTACCAGGTGCTGAAAATCTGCAGCATAGTGAGCAACCGGCTGGCATCCTGCCTCAATACCTGGTGCGTGGCTTCTGCTGTATGTTACTATTTGGCTTGTTGAAGGTCATTGAAGTAGCTTGAACAAATTCCTTGAACTCACTCAAGAGGGGACTTGATTTCTCAAGCAGTGTAGAATCCCAGGTCAACGCTTCCCCAATCAACAGACTAATGACGAGTCCCACTGTGGTTTGGTTGGCAGGAAATGACTGTGAGCACAGCAGGAACAGGAACTGGCGCTGCTTTAAGAACCCACAGTATTTTCCACAGTCACCATCAAACTTGTCAGACAATTGGGATATTCGATACTCAATGGGCCTGAGTCACTGATGGCGTGGCTTGTGCCTGCGGCACTACATTCTGTGCCTGAAGGGCATGGACCTGGCTTTAATAGATTCTTCAGGGTGCTCGCTAACTCTGCCAAAGAGGCATCAACTTTAGTGTGGTCCATTCTGCAGCTAAACTACATCTTGTCTTTTTGGGCCGCTCAAACTGTCATGGGCCAGGGTGTGGGCGGTCAGACCTAGTGATCGGAGAAGTGGCGGTCAGACCTAGTGGTCGGACTCAGTGTCAGAGGCCAGGAGCAGCGCTGAGGGTTAGAGCCGGAGCTAGGAACCAGGGGTCAGGGCCAGAGCTGGGAACCGAGCAGGGGTGGAGCAAGGCTGGGAAGAAGGCATATAGGATCACAGCTGCAGGCATAAGTGTTGGAGTCTCCAGTGACTTGCTGCTGCTGAGCTTAAATGCAGACCTGTAGCGATCTTGAAGCCAGTTGGGTGGGCTGGGCTGGCCAGTCAGGTGATTCTGCTGCAGCCTTATGGCTGAACTGCCTAGCCCCAGGTAGAGCCCTGCAAATCTGCAGATATCCGCTTCACATCCATGGACCGTTTTTGCAGATAGTGGATTGGATACAGGGCTCTAGTCACTGGTGGCGCCTGGCCCGCGGTGTCCGGCTTGGGCAGCCTGGGGGCGCAGCACGCTCGGGACTGGTGGCCAGCAGCCAGTGGCTGGGGCTGGGCAGGAGATCAGAGTTGGGGCTGTCGAGCACCCACTTGCTGTGCCACTTCCTGTCCAGCAGCTTGGGCCCCTCAGGCAGCGCCAGCGTCCCCATCATGGCCCGGCCCGGCAGCACTGGCCACGCTCCCACTCCTGGGCCCAGCCCGTCGGCTCTTGGGCAGCAGGGCCTGCCCACAGCCATGGGATTGGAGCGAGTGGGGCCCTGGCACCCCATCCCTCCAACACACTGTGATGCAACACGCACTGATCTGCCATGTGCCATTGCTCACGAGCCCCCTGGGAGCAGCATGTGATTCAAAGCTCCTTCCTCCCAGCAACCCCCTCTGCGCTGCCTCTTCTCCTCAAGACCCTGCCCTCATGTTGCCCCTTACCCCCAGTCCCCATCCTCATGCTGCCTCTTCCCTGCAAGACCCCGCCCCCTACCCACTAGCTCCCTTCCCATCCTCCCATCCTCCCTCCCTTCCCTCCCCCCCAGCCGTGTGAGATGTCTTGCTGCTGTGGGTGTGAGTGCAGATGCGGATACAGGTAAAACATGGCTAGCGGATTGGATCGCAGGTTGATCCTGGCGGATGCGGATTGGATGTGCATCCACATTTTTGTATCTGTGCAGGGATCTAGCCCCAGGCTTAATTGAGGTAACTCGGGTTCCTAATGCTTACACACAGAGGAGCTAATGAAGCAGCAGTATTCTGAAATATCAAATATTGGAAGAACCTTTTCCCCCAAACTGTACAGTGCAATAGTTCCTGCTTTTGTGATGGGTTTTTATTCACTCCCGAGCATTTAGCTCCCTAGGGTTTCCTCTCCTATTCTAATTTCCCCTTTTTTAGTTGTCCCTGATCAAGTACTCTGTCGTATTTATTGATGGAAGTGGGCTGCAACATGTACTCGATCAGTTCTACTGTTATGTGTGACCTTGAGGGATTTATTTATTAATGCTGCTTTAGTTTCCCATAGAACAACAATACAACAATTTTAGTCAGATTCCTTTTCCCTTCTATAAAATCAGCTCTGATAGTGGTGGGTGTAGCTTTGATATAAAAAGTATTTTAAGTGTGTCTGAGACTCATCTGCCTTAGATTTCTGAAAGTCACTGCAAGAACCTAACAGGAGAAGCACTTTTTTTTTTAATTGCAGACCTGTTATCTATCAATCCTCTGCTATAACTTTGGAGTGGAAACCTATGAACAGAAGGGGTATGAACAGAGCTCCTTCTGGCTCAGGTAATGTAAAAGGGAAAACAAAATGCAAAGTATTTTTTCTGAGAAAATAGCAAATGTGGTTGAAGGAATAGGAAAAAGCAATTTTTAGTTTTTGGATTTCATTGGAAAAAGTGCAACATTTGGTTAAAAAAAAAATTCTTTGTGAAAATTTTTGTTTTTGAAAAAGCAGTTTCCTGATGGGGAAAAAGTTGTTTGAAAATTTTCATCTAGCTCTAGTATTAAATGAATCAATCTGTAACCCTTCTGACAGTCAGAGTTGGCAGAAACAAGGGCCGGGTTCAGTATCTATTGGTTCCTTTTCAACAATACAACACAAAACCGTCTTGAGCCCCCACCCAGTGACCTGCGACAATTACACACCACCCTCTGGGCACCTCTAAGAGGCAATAAAGAGGGAAGTAACTTAGCATCAATTTGGGAAAACAGGGTTCACAAACATAAACCATGAGCAAAAGACCCACTCCCCAAGTAAGTTGGGCAGTGTCCTTTTCCCCTCCGGTTCTTCAGGGCAGCATCCCAAAAGTCCCTTTAACATGCCTGTCCCTTCTCTGCACCCCACTCACAGTTGCTGTCCTTGGTCAGTGCAGCCCCAGAGTTCAGAGGTTCATCTGCAGAGTTCACCTCCCATCCTAGGTGGAGGGGATGGTAAGGAGGCACCTTAGACGCTCCGCTGCTTGGGCACTCAGTCGCCGCACCTCTCCCTACCAGCCACCCTGCTGGCCACTTGCTGCGCCTCTCCACCAGCTGCCCTGCTGGCCGCTTGTCATGCCTCTCCATCAGCCCCCTTGCAGGCCGCTTGCTGCACCTCTCTGCCAGCCACCCTGCTGGCCACTCACCAAGATGTCTTCAGGGCCCACCACTTAACACAGCTGTCAGTGATTTCAGCTGTTAGTGGGGGAGCCTCACTGCTGGTACACACTGGGCAGTCTCTTACATCAGAGATGCTGTCTCAAAGCAGGTCTAATACTTAGACCTAGGTATCAGTGATTTCAGCTCTGCAGCATGTAACAAGACTGTCAATTGAGTCTAAATTAGCTCTTTTATTACACAGTGGAGAGAGGAAGGGTCAAATGCTGCCTAGGATCCTTAAGCAGGGCCCACACCACTGGGTGCAAGTACCTGTCCCCACTCTCTCTCAACTCACTGGGTTTTGGAACCCATGTTCCCTGCCTACTGAGTGCTGTTTCATTGAGAGTGAATCCCTCCAGCAGGGTATGCCAGGTACAGTTCTGCTGCCCTCGATTCACACAACAAGGGTACATAAGAACAGCCGTACCGGGTCAGACCAAAGGTCCATCTAGCCCAGTATCCTGTCTACCGACAGTGGCCAATGCCAGGTGCCCCAGAGGGAGTGAACCCAACAGGTAATGATCAAGTGATCTCTCTCCTGCCATCCATCTCCACCCTCTGACAAACAGAGGCTAGGGACACCATTCCTTACCCGTCCTGGCTAATCGCCATTAATGGACTTAACTACCATGAATTTATCCAGTTCTCTTTTAAATGCTGTTATAGTCCTAGCCTTCACAACCTCCTCAGGCAAGGAGTTCCACAAGTTGACTGTGCGCTGTGTGAAGAAGAACTTTCTTGTATTTGTTTTAAACCTGCTGCCTATTAATTTCATTTGGTAACCCCTAGTTCTTGTATTATGGAAATAAGTAAATAACTTTTCCTTATCCACTTTCTCCACATCACTCATGATTTTATAGACCTCTATCATATCCCCCCTTAGTCTCCTCTTTTCCAAGCTGAAGACTCCAAGCCTCTTTAATCTCTCCTCATATGGGACCCGTTCCAAACCCCTAATCATTGTAGTTGCCCTTTTCTGAACCTTTTCTAGTGCCAGTATATCTTTTTTTAGATGAAGAGACCACATCTGTACGCAGTATTCGAGATGTGGGCGTGCCATTGATTTATATAAGGGCAATAATATATTCTCAGTCTTATTCTCTATCCCCTTTTTAATGTTCCCTAAGGCTAACAACGCTTTATTACTCCTGCCCCAATAACAAGGAGACTGGGGATCCAACACCAGCCACAAGTGATCATTTGGGGAAGCAATCCCATCATGCTGAGCACCTAGGCAGAGTGGGTGTGCCCATGCAAACGAGATCAGCTCCTGAAGTCCTCTTCCACAGCTCATCACAGATGGCAGGGGAGAGCTCATTCAGACGCTGCTTACAAATCTAAAACTCTACTTGGCTGAGCAAAGCTAGGCCTACACCCAGCTCAATGGCATTTCTCTGTTTACAGGCACATCCTTTCATGTCAACCTCACTGTTATCTCAATATCAGGCATTCCTTTCACATGGATTTTCATGTTCTGACAAGAGGTCCCTTCTTTGCATGTAGAAATATTCATGGCTCTCCTTAATTCTGTTCATACATCTTATTCTCCCAAGGAGGCTGTGCTTTAGGAGGATTGTTCTCAGCTATTGCCCCTTTCATAATGCCATGGTGATGGTTGCACCTTAAGAGATGTGAAAAGTGTACAAAAATGCAGAAAAATAATTGTCAGCATTACATGCATTTGCTAAGAGTAATCTTTGAATTGCTCATAAAAGAGTTACATACCAAAAGCCATAATTATACTGTTGATGAAAGTTTTTCATTTATTAATTCTCCCTACTTTAGTGTTCTCAGCCACATTCATTGGGCTACAAGGGCTCAGGCGGCTCCTCAACTGGCCTGGTGCCTTTACTGCTCGCTCACTGTTACATGTGACCTTGACAGATTTATTAGGTTTCCAATGTTGACAACTTGGAGAGAATCCACAAAACAGCAACACAAATGATTTGTCTATCTACACCGCTACCTCGATATAACGCGACCCGATATAACACGAATTCGGATATAACGCGTTAAAGCAGTGCTCGGGGGCGGGGGGGAGGGGCTGCACAGTCCAGTGGATCAAAGCAAGTTCAATATAACGCGGTTTCACCTGTAATGTGGTAAGATGTTTTGGCTCCCGAGGACAGCGTTATATCGAGGTAGAGGTGTATTTGGGCTAAATGACAACATGCTATAACTATCTACATATATTATAGGGTGTATATTCCAACGTGGGAAAGGAATTGTAAGGGATGGCAAGATGGAGACCAAGGAAGCAGTGCAATAAAATTAAGGAAAAGAACATTTAGGCTATCAGGAAAAATTATTCTGTGCCAGACTCAGAAAATCAGAATGGATTTTTAAAAAAATTATTTAGAAGAAGTCAACTTGACAATGCCCCCTTTAATCTCAAACATTTAATGATCATAGATATGGAGTCATGGAAGTCTTAAAGTAGAGTTTATGATTCATAGATTCATAGATTCTAGGACTGGAAGGGACCTCGAGAGGTCATCGAGTCCAGTCCCCTGCCCGCATGGCAGGACCAAATACTGTCTAGACCATTCCTGATAGACATTTATCTAACCTACTCTTAAATATCTCCAGAGATGGAGATTCCACAACCTCCCTAGGCAATTTATTCCAGTGTTTAACTACCCTGACGGTTAGGAACTTTTTCCTAATGTCCAACCTAGACCCCCCTTGATGCAGTTTAAACCCATTGCTTCTTGCTCTATCCTTAGAGGCTAAGGTGAACAAGTTTTCTCCCTCCTCCTTATGACACCCTTTTAAATACCTGAAAACTGCTATCATGGGTTTAGGGTTAGTTAGGGTTACCATACGTCCTCTTTTTCCCGGACATGTCTGGCTTTTCGGCACTCAAACCCCCGTCCGGGGGGAATTGCCAAAAAGCCGAACATGTCCGGGAAAATGGCGGCTCTGCTCCTCCCCTGACTCTTCGGCTCTTAAAC